AGCCGTTTCGTCCGAGTACGGGACTCTTTAGCAGTGCTTATTCATGATACAGCACGTGGGACTCGAACCCAGAACATTCGATCTCATGCGTGAACGCCTAACCTCTATACCATTGAGCCGGCATTCAACGGTGTTAATTTCTAACTTCAATATGAGATGATACAATTCAGTTTTACAAATTTTATCCAATAGACTCATAATTGTATATTTATTTAATAATTGACTTCATGAGTCATTCGAAGCTAGACTACCATACTGAACGTGAAAGCACTGAATGACCGTTTCGTCCTAGTACAGGACTCCTCAGCAGTGTAGATACACGAAACCAACCCGCGAGATTCAAACCCACGTTGTTAATATCTAAATTCAATCTGTATTGGTACATTTCAATTTTAAAAATTTTATCCAATAAAATCATAAATGAAATATTGATTTATTTATTTCATCCCAATTAATCAATAAATGGGTGAGACATGAGACACACCTATAACTATTATAACCTTATAAATTATTCATTACAATTAACCAATAAAAACAGAGATTTTCAAGGTCAAATGGATAAATATTTAAAATGAGTTACACATTACTTACTAATTATAGTCAATATCATTAACATAATGACAAGATTATTACTATTAGTCTAATGTATATTCTTCTTCTTCTTCCTATCAAATGGTGAAAAATAAGTGGAAAAATCAAAATATTAAATCAGAATTTAATGATATCACAATAATAAAAGAAAGAAAACCAACAACATTACAAACTCTTATTGTTACAATTATATTATGTTGTTTAACAATCATATTCATGATTGTTGGAATGAGTTTAAAATTGGCTTATGGTCCATCATTATATTATAGAGATGAAAATTAGTAAGTTATTATTTTTGTTTTTGGTTAGCTTGTTTTTGGCGATGAGGGATGAAGTCGCTAACCCCATGTTCAACCCTTCTCCTCTGTCTGGGCTTGAGACCAGCAGTAGTCCCAGATGGGCTCCAGGCGGAGAAGATGACGTTTATCAGAATTATGTGATATATTTGCGCAATACATTTAGAACAATCTGAGACTGCTGATCATATGGTTGACATCAAGTCAGCATTTGTAGTGTTATACAAAAGCCTTTAAGGATGTATACTAAGGTTTATTGAAGCCTTGGCTATACGGAAATTGAAACCCCCTTTATGTGTTCAAAAACAATTTGTCCATACACTTAACCTACCCTGGCAATACTGATTTATTATCCAGAGTGTTAATTACATTGTTTTTGTGTACATTAATATTATGATTACTAGTATAGGGGTTGTGGAGATTATTAAGTTTTTGATTGAAATCATGAACAGATTGATGTTAGACTACCACCTTTGAAAACCTGGAAGCACTGGACGGCCGTTTCTTGGAGTTCTAGTGAGAAGACGTGAACAGTTGAGCTAACCCATGTCGGGTAGAGACAGGTATCTACCTCAGTACGACGGAAGATGGTCGCACAATTTCGTGGATCGGTTGATGTTACACACTATCACCATTGGATGCCGGCTCAGTGGTCCAGTAGGTTAAGCGTTCGCGCGCGAGACCGAAGGCCTTGGGTTCGAGTCCCACGAGCGGGATCGTGGATGCGCACTGCTGAGGAGTCCCACAATAGGACGAAACGGCCGTCCAGTGCTTCCAGGTTTCCAAAGGTGGTGGTCTAACATCAATCGGTTCATGATCTCAATCAAGAAATATTATTATTATTTTTTCTTTGTTATGGCTTACCTTTAACCTGTCTAGTTGACCTTTAAATTTTCATATATAAATGTTCTTAACAAGTATATTAGGTGTGATCAGATTGTTTGAAATGTATTGCGTAAATATATCACCACATAATTCTGATAAACTTCAGCTTCTCATTGCATGATCGAAATTTATCAAATGGGACTAATTGTTTTAAGTTAACAATACTATTATAAGATAGAGTAGTTGTGTAAATGATGATATCAGAAAGGGTTTTTTTGTGTGGATATTATAGTAATTTTAATAGTTGAGATCATGAGTCAATTGAAGGTAAACCATCATGGAAAATTTGGAAGCACTGGATACCCGTTTCGTCTTATTGTGGGACGACTCCTCAGGAGTGCGCAGACACGATCCCGCTTAGCGAAATTCGAATCTAGAACAATATCAATCTCACGCGTGAGCGTTTATGTTTATAAAGCTAATCAGATGTTTTAACATAAGAAATTTTCAATTCCAATTTGAATGAAATATTATTCATTATTCAATGATTAAAATCTATTACGTCTTTTTTTGAATTATTTGCTTCATTAACGTCTTACTATGGAAATAATTCGATTACGACTAAAACAAGGGATGAGAGTTTGTGGAAATTGTAGTGATTTAATGATTGAATTCATGAGCTGATTTAAGCTAAACCATCATTGACAACCTGAAAGCACTGAATGGCCGTTTCGTCCTAGTATGATACTCGTTAGCAGTGTGCATCCACAAGTACGCTCGTGGGAATCGAACCCAGGATGTTCAGTCTGTCATGAGAACACTTAATCTCTAGGCCCCTGAGCCGGCATCCAACAATAATAATGTCCAACTTCAACCAATCCACATTGTTACTCGACCGTCCACCATTGTATTCACAAAAGATACAGTTTGACTTCACTGGTCACATCTACTCACTAGAACTCCAGGAAATATATCTTGAAGTCAGCCACTAGTAAGCACATGATACTTATTTTCAGAATGACAGTTTGTGGACAATAATTGTCATGTGCTTACTAGTGATTGCCTTCAAGATGTGTTTCCTGGAGTTCTAGTAAGTAGACGTGTTTGTTAAGAAAAGAAAGTTCTATTCTAGCGTAATTGTTAATAATTTTATATTTCTTATGTACTTTCAAAATGATAACAACATTATTTGAAATGAAACAAATGAATATGTTGGTTGCATCTCATAGCTTAGTCTGCGAAAAAATGGGTTGTATACGAGATATTGTTTATTTGATTTGGACCAATAAAGTCTATTTTACTTTAATATGTGAAGGAGAAATTGTGTAGATTAAATTTTCTCATAAAGATAAGTAGGGATAACTCTACTCTGGTCATTTTGCATAGCTTAAACCTTACGAATTCATTATTACGAACATCGTTTAAAGAACTCCCAAATAAATGTCTCAATGTAAGTCATAACGCATTACTCTAAACCTGTGCTTATCGCAAAGGTCATAGAATCAACCTCTGCACTACTACAGCTGGATCTATTTTAAGGTTACTGCCATTCCAAAGCCCAAGGAAGAGACGAGGTTCCGGTATCGAGTTAGCTCAACATTGGGCATTTTATAGCTAAATTTAAACCTCTCTTTCTCATTCTAGCACGGTAAACTAATTTGGAAAAAAATATTATCGATTCATCGGTACTAAGGTAACTGGATAAACGGGTCACGAAAACCAGTGAAAGTGTTTTCTTAATTCTTACCGTTCAATCGTTATATTATAACGATTCTGTAGTTCTTCGATTTTTTTATTTTGAAAAATACGCTTTCATAATACTATTGATAAATTGGGGCTAACAATATCGTTGTCTTACTTTCGTAACTATTCAAGTTGCTGTATACTTACATCAATAAGTTGATATTTTAAGCTGGATTCAGTTTGTGATATAATGTAATGTTCGATCAATTTCTGGAATTATACTAAGTTTTGTGCAATTTTCAGTTCATTGAACCGATGTAATAAAGTAAATTCAAAGCATTTGCGCAGAAATAATAAGATCATGTCTAGATCATCATCTACATATATAGATGACAACTTGAGGCTTCAAAGAAGTCTGATATTAATTTGGGACAAATTTGCACATCAATCAGGAGGGTTAAATTAATAGGTAATGAGATATGATGATATGATATGAGCTCAATCTCATCAATGACTTATATTGATCCATTGGAAACCGAGAAACAGGACAGATTTTACATTGTTGTAGAGTGTAGGAATGATTATAAAGGGGGTCCAAATGAAAATTTACAGGTTTAATGTCTGGTAGGGTATCATTGAGACATTGCTCAACTTTAATTCATTACTTATGCACCATAACCATCACTCAGTGTAATCCTATCGCTTCACGCTATTTTAAAGTATATAATCTAAGGAAAATCCATTTTGCGGAACATCCTAATTTCCTAACACCATTGAACTTGATTTTAAAACGAATAGTTTTAACTTATAAAATCTTGAATACAGTATTTCAAGTCATTTGAATTCTGTTCCAACATCTATCATTTACTAGTACATATAACAAACTGCTTTCAGTATCAACTATTTGTTCTATTTACATCTATTATAAACTATTATTCTCTTATTCTTATTTATGAGTGGCCCCCAAATGCTCTGGTACGGCGGAGAATGAGGAGAGTCATCTCTCCCTCTTGAAATACTCTCGATTGGCCACGTGCATACAACCATTGCCAGGGAAGTCCTATTCACCACGTTCTCACGGCATTACTGTTGTTTACGAAATTGAGAGGACGAAAAGCGAATGTACGGCTCTTTAACTGGGTTAGTGGAAACGGAGAGTCCACCTAGGGAAGTTGAAAAACCCTGATTCTAAACCAATGGTGCACATGGGCTCCAGGATCCTATGGAGACAAATGGCGTATGAACCAATCGTAGGTCACCGGCTACCATGGGACTGAATCTCCCTACGTTGCTCCACTGCCTTATGGATTAGACCTTTAGGTCAAAAGCTCGGAGTGTGGCTCCTTAAGAAAACCATGTGCTTCTGTTTGAACATCCGGGGAGTATCCTAGCCCTCACATAAATCGAATGATTTGTGTGGTACATATCTATTTGGTACTTCTTTGTACTAATGTTTGTGTGCTTAAATAAATAAATATAAATAAGCGTATTTCACTAAAAAGTTTTCGTGAGTAAAAAGAAGTTTTGTACAACATCCAATACGTGAGTAGTGAATGACCTTGAAAGTTCTAATATCTGATACATCAACTCAAACTTTTCAATCAATAAAACTAAGTGGGTTTTGTTTTTATTACCAACATTAAAATAAATATCAGTTTTCAATACGATAAAGTCATTTTCTTGTACAAACATGTTAAATGAAGCATAGAAATAACAGCAGTTATTATTTGAATGGAATTATAACCATAAGTATACACATATCAATTATAGTATTTTAATTTAATGATTGACTTCATGAGTCAATTAAAGCTAGATCACCATGAAAAACCTGAAAGCACTGGACGATCGTTTCATGTGACCTCTCAGTAGTGCTCATCCACGATCCCGCCCGGGAGATCCGAACCTGGAGCTTATCGGTCATGCACGTGTACACGTAACCTCGAGACCACTGAAAGGGCATCCAACAGTGCTAATGTTTAACTTCAACCAATCTATTTAATTGCACCACTGTCTACCACTGTATTTAGTGAGTTACAAAGGACTCGGTTGAACTCAATTGGTATTCTTGTTTAAAGGCAGTAGGATTTATTCATAATTGTCTTCCCTATTGAAACAAGAGTCAAATATACTTTCAATTATAATTACATGATCAAACTTACCAAGAAATTGCTGTTTAATGTTTTCTTATTGAAAGTAAACTCTTTGAAATTTATCAAGAATGTTAAAACTTGTTTTGTTTTTTTAATTAGTTGGCTTGCAGCAATTGGTCTAAGTCTAGTAGCAATATCTTTTCCGCTTGGAATTACAGCAACCTGTTTATTGAATACATTATGTCGTATTAAACGTTATGTTGAATACATTGAAGCACGTAAACAAATGTTAGAAAGTCAGGTATGTTCTATACATACATATATCTGTATATAAAATAGATATGGTTACTATGTAAACACTGACTTCACTAATTTGTATTACTTTTTATTCTATACATTAATTTTTATATGATTAAGTATATATAACTGAATACATATTGATTTATTGGTTGTATTATTGTTCAAATAAAGCAAAAGACAAAGAAGTTAACACTCAATGTACCCACATTTACAAGAAAATATTAATGTGAAGGCAATCGATGAATAAAATCTCTTGCTGATAGAAATAACTCAATATTATACAGAATTGCCACCATCCATCTCTGCTTAAAACGCTTGTGATAAGTAAAAAAAAAACAACACAATGTGAATTTAAACTTCACTCCATTGCATAAGCAGGTGGTTATCAGGACTCAGTAGCCAAGTGGATATTCAGTCAGTCAGTAATAACGTTGAACTTCGTATGTACGTACATCAGTTCGAGTTGTCATACCACATTAGCACAGAGATGCAGTTGTCGTTTCAAATCCCATAGTGGTAGAGGTAGTAAGAGTATAAGCAGTAACCGGAAACATTACGCGATGACATTTAAAGTGAACGGTACTGGGCTCGAGTCCCAGAGTGAACATCAACTGTGAGATGCAGGTACATCCAGTTGACGAGTCCGAAATAGGACGAAACGCATGTCATGGATTCCATTGCTAGCTACTATCCATCTTTACTTAAAAAGCTTGTGACTTAAGGCTATATCGAGGCAAGCAGCACAGAATGTACATATGCCAATAAGAGACTGATGAATTGCAGTCCTAAGTAAAAAGGGGAAGATACAAGTAAAAAAACCAACAGCAAGTGAATTGTAAAAATTTGTTGATAGAAAACTTTACTTTGTCAACAAATTGACATATCATGGTGTTGATTTCAATTATACATTCCCGTCAACCTCTTTTGCAAAAGTATACGTAAGCTAATACAAGTAATAGTTGTCATACTGAATACATAAAATATTCCATTTAGAAAAAAAATCAACCTTAAAGTTAGTAATCGATGATTTGTATAGATCTGACTTATCCAAAAAAATAAAAATAAAGAGAAATCAGCGAGGAAAATTTTCTTTTCGACGAAATTATTTACTTAAGCTGTACATTCGTGAGTCCACTGAAGCTAAACCACCATGGAAAACCTGGAAGCACTAGACGGTCGTTTCGTTCTAGTGTGTGACTCCTCAGCAGTGCGCATCCACGATCCTGCTCTTCAATATTCAATTGACTTATGAATTCAACTACAAAAATTACTAAAATCCCCACAAAACCACTTCTGAACACTCGTATTTATAGTTATATGGTAAATATATGAGTCTATATAAGGATAGAAAAGATTGTATCGTCAACTGATCCGAGACTCTTATTATCAACCGAGGTTACGCAATAATCAAGGAGTAATGAAGGAATATAAGGATGAAAATAATCTGTGGGTCAGATAATTGCCCAGTCAACAGATATGAAGAAAAACGATAAACACAAAGGTCATGATCATGTTTAAGAATAATAACGACCGCTAAAAGTTTAAAATAACAAAATCTCCACAAAACCCCTTCTGATAATAATCATCTGCTCACTAGTGACTGACTTAAAGAGACATTTCCTGGAGTTCTAGTGAGAAGCCGTTACCAGTGGAGTTCAACCAGGTCTGTTGTGAGATATCAGCTCACTGAAGACAATAGTGTACGGTGGTGCAACTTCGTGGATTGGTTGAAGTTAGACATTAACACCGCTGGATGTGAGCCAGCTCAATGGTTTAATAGTTAAGCACATCTCTAGTCGAAAATACACTCATTTATATATTGATTGTACACCCATTTTGATTAATAATTAAGATGAAATCACATATTCAGTTATAACAAATCACTTACTGAGTATAGTTCATGTCAAGTGAATACAAGAATATCTCGCATATTATACAGAAGAGAATATCATACTGAGAAAACAGTAACAAATACTCCATTGAGTAATCATGACATTGAATCAAAATGGAATTCATGTTGAATAAAACTCATAATCGATAAATCAATCGAATTTGGACTTTTCTTTCCATCATATCGATTTTTTTTATGAGTATTGATCAGCAATGATTAAACACATTTCTTGTTTCGTAAACCGTATCTGCTTACATTTTGTGAAGCATGCTAGTGTAAATTAGATATTTCTCATTACTAATATTTGTAAAGTTTTATTTCTACACAATTAACTAATATCATTTGATCGGGAAAGTGAACCAGTCCAGTGTACTATTGTAGTGAACAGAACACGGTTGGGGGACAATCAAACTGTGCATAGGACTAAATTACAGAATCACTTGGTAAGATAGAAAAACCATATAGTAAATCATTAGTTTGCAAAATATCAATCCATCATATCAAACTGGACTGTTTCAGTTGCAATCATCAATCCATTGTCTCACATTTCATTGTTCATGTGTTTTCTTACAAATTGCATTGTGTTCCCGCTCTTCCTTTCTTGATCTTCTCCCATCTTCTGCTGCCAGACATTACGTTTTTAACTGGCGTCATATACTACTTATATCAATATAAGTAGCACGCACCACACTATCATTGTAGTACACGTAATACTAATAGATATTGTCAGATTAATGTTTGAAAGAAAACAGTTATAAAAGAGTATTGAAAAATTGACTCCTATGAAACATAATCCTCACAAGTAATTTTTGAAAAAAATTGATCTGATCATTAGTTTCTAAGTGGAAAGTTAGCTTAAATTACAGACTAACATTATATAGTAAATCATTAAAAACCATAAAGCATTGAATAGTTGTTTCCCTTGTTAATTTTCATTCTTTAACAGTTCTAATTCACAACCTTATGAAAGATTGGATCCAGTATCCCGATATGTAACTTTTGAATCAGTAATCTAGTGGTAGAAATAGTTAATTTCAGTCACTTGATATCATTAAGCAACTTTGGTCCATCAATGATATCTATTTCAATCTCGAGATGATTGAACTTCATCGCTTAAGGCCTCGTACTTATGTTTTATGAAATTTATCTCGATGTTAGACACAAGCAAATGTATGATTGATATTGGATTAAAATAATTTCGAAAGTTAATCCATTTTTTATTGGTTGTTTGTATCTTCCCATTAATGTTTAATACTTCAATTGATCAATCTCTTTTGACAAATGTGCATCGTGTGTGGATTGACTCGATATTGGGATAAATTCACAAGCATTAGAAGCAGAGATGGATAGTGGCTAGCATTAAAGTCCTGGACGCGTGTTCTGTTTTATTCTGGAATCTTCAGTAGGATGTACCCGCATCCCATAGTTTATGATCACCCAAAGACTCAAACTCAGTACTATATATCAACTCTGTTTTTCATGTAGTTTCAGCTGCCGAATTTCAAATAAGACAAAACGCACTCCTTGGATCCTACTATTAGTCACTATCCACCAGTGCTCATAGTTTTCAAAGATTGTTAATTTTGAGAATAGTTCCCCATATAAAACACATGTATCTAGTTTCTCTTCGTTTTTAGTGTATTTTCAGTTTGAATTGTAGGCATTATTTAGATAGTTTCAAATCCCTGTACTCATTTATCATTTCAAAGTCGATTGGTACATAAACTAGTCATTCTACTGGAAGATGATGATTATGTATCTAGTCAACATCTCAGACGACATATCCTTGTCTGGATCAGAATAACGAATGTATAAAATCCGTTTGCTTCCTATACACCTTTCATTTTGCCAATTAAAGCTTCTAATTATTTCTTTATTAGTTTCATTTATATTTCTTTACTAAAAAAGTGCAAAAAAAGCTTGTGCATAGGCAGTTACTTTGTAAGATCATCAGTCAGTTAGTCAGCAACAATGTAGGACCAGACACATTTATATGCATCGGTCCAAGTTGCCACATCTCATTTGCACAACAAGATGAACATCGAATTCATAAAAGTAGTTAATTCAGTGATGATAATATATAAAAGAAAGTTTGTATGTAAGGAAGAAAGAATTAGTTCGTAGAAAGAAAGATATGAAGCGATTTTAATCTCATAGTTTAAAGGAAGACAACGAGTGTATACATCTATGCCATTGTGATCGATTCTAAGTCTCCAACCATTGGATACGATAATCACGCGGACCCCCAACAATTAGTCTGCATCTACCACCTACATGGCACAGACTAGAAGTTAATGATATTACAAACTGATGCCACGCAATAGTTTGGCATACTTCAACTTTCTTCCAACCATCCCCAACACGAGTCAGCATTGCGGGTCTTATCTTATCTTGTAAGGTCATAAAATATACCTAGTTCTAACAGTTTCTAAATGAACAATAAAAAATCTTGAATTTTTGTTTGTTTGTTTTTCAGGTTACTGAAACACATCCGGATAAAGTTGTTTACAAATAAAAATATTGATCTTCAAGTTAGAAAATAAGTTAAAGTATCCTTGTGTACATAAATATTCAATATAGAAATAGTTACTATAGTTCAATTATGAATTCCTTCAAATTATTCTATAAAACATATCAAATATGACATTACAATGTTCAAATGTTGTAAGTGACAAATATTTTTTAAACGTTAGCAACAAAACATTTTTCTATTTATATTAATATAATAGTTTTATTATATGATCAACTTCTTGATACCATTTCAAGGGAATTGTATTCTTTGAACTGGAGGATTTTTTTCTTTCTTTTCGTATAACTTTCATTATTCTTTGAAATGATATCATCTTGGAGGAAGCTTTAAATAGAAGTGATCTTGTCGAATGTTCACATCAACTACTGATTAGTAGCTTGTTTTGTTGATTTTAATTTTGATTGATTATTGTTATACTCTTTGTTTTCTTTTTTTCACTGTCTTTATATTATTTCGATAGTCTTCAGTTAGTCAGTCAGCAACAACACAAAACTTCGGACGTACGTACATCAGTTCGAGTTGCCATACCACATTAGTCCATTCAAATCCCGTAGTGGTAGAGATAGTAAGAGTATAAGCAGTAATCCGAAAGATTAGGGTTTGAACATGTTATTCAAGGAGTATAATCCAGTGAAATAAATTTGGAAAGAGAAAAAAGGGACATGAAGAATTCAGAAGATTAGAATTTGAGAGAACACAGAGAGTGGATGCACCTGCGCCATTGCAAACGATTTTGAGCCATGTCATTCAGGGTCTCTAACAATCGCTTTGCTATCACCTCGCGGATCCCAACCAGGTAGTCTACTCCTACCAACATGGCTCGGTTCATTTGCCAGTGACTTCATGGATTTGTGCCATGTTTTGGTCTGGCTGCCCCTAGCTTTCTTCCAACCTACTTTTACACCAGAAAACATCGCACATCGAGGCAGTCGGCGGTTGGGCATACGTAACACATGTCCCAGCCATCTCAAATGATGAAGTTTCACTACTTCATCAATTGATTTACCATCCTTACCTAGTACCCGTTTCTTAACAACTGCATTATTTACACGATGGTCCCAGGATATACGAGCAATGCTTTAATCGTTGATCTTATGACCGTCTGTGACATATTTTATTGTTTGGTAAACTGTGAAGATTCTTTAAACATTTAATACAATGAGTAATATTTCAGAAAAAATGCAGCACTACAGATCAAGTTTTACATGTTTTAAACAGAGTATTGTAATTAACTAGACTCTATGTTCAGCAGTATTACAGGAGATGCTTGTAGATATAATGAATACTACAGAAGTTTTTCGGCGAGACTATAATTTATATGAGAACCAATAAGGTATAGCATAACAAGTGTCGGGTTTCGGTGCGAAATTCACTCATTTGTTTGGATAAACAGAGTCTTGACATTATAGCTGATGTTAGTTGGTGATGAAAACCATAAATCTAATTCTTAATCCTAACCATCAACTGTAAGTCATAATCGTCATTCGTCAAACCGCTTTATAACCCTCATTTAGCCCTAGTAAGTAGTTAGACACTTTCAAGGTCATTTTAGCATCGCTCGAAGGTTGTCCATAAATTATAATCTCTCCAGTTTTTCTACTGAACACTGTACAGAAGTCTATATTTCAAAAAATGATATTCACTAGAACGAGATAATAATCAAACCATTAATAACTGATAATGTCATTGTTTCATTTAAACTTCTCCTTGTCAATGAACTACTATTTCAAAAAATGCAATTAACCTGTTCTGGGTTAGAGGCATTTGCCAACCGGAAATAATGAAAGATGGTTACCCATTATCGTGGATTCATTGAATTGAGACATTAACATCGTTGGATGCCGACTTAGTGGTTTACAGGTTAAGCGTCCATGTACTAAACCGAAGGTCTTGGATTCAACTTCCATGTGCAGGATTGTGGTTTCTCACTGCTGAAGGGTTCCATACTAGGATGAAACAGCTGTTCAATTCTTTAAGATTCTCAATGGTGGTCTAACATTAACCGATGTATGATTTCAATGAAATTCAATAGTCTCCACAACCCACTATTAATAATATCATAAAATTGATCGGTGATATAAAGGTTCTGTTAACAGGAGTAACAATGACTAATATTCTACAACTGTATATCCAAATAGTAATTCAAAAAGTGACTAGGTTTAAAGCAAATGCATCATTTAGAACTAAAACATGCAAATTTAGGATCGTTTATAAGATGAAATAAAATTGTTACTGTCTAGAATAAATGTCAGTGTATCGCTTTACCTGGTTTATGATTTCAATAAGATATTGAGAAATTGAACTATTCATGGGTACAGACCTTATAAAGTGTATTCATCGAACCTGTAGTAGACTCTCTCTTATCTTTTCTACCATTCTAACTAGTTTTAAAGGTAAACATCAATCGATTTACGTAGTTGATAGTAATTGATAGAACAAGAAAAAAAGTTCTGTCAACACCCGAGAGTAGATAAAGGATAATAAGATCAATTAGATTAGACTTGACCACTAAATAATATGTAGCTATACTTCAGCTTAGACACAATATCCGACCGATAGCTGAAAACCAGATTAGATTATATATTAGTTAACTTATAAAAATTACAAGCAGTCAACGTATATAGATGGATGTCCAAGCAGAGATCAATAATGAAAGGAATTTACAATACAATTTAATCCCATAGATAGATGTACCTAACTTCGCTCCTCAGCTAATCAACCAATTACTTTCACTGATGTGTAACTTAGAATAAGCAGCTGTCAACTTGTAATTGAGTTAAGGAGCAAAATATTCATTCGAAATAGATCAAACATATGACAGATTCCAACTAGTACATTGTTTGATCTTATAATCGTTGTTTTTGAGGTGCTACAATTACTTGTATATTAAGTAGTATCTTGTTGATTTTTTAACTTAGTTAATGTAGATAGAATTTTTCCAGCCTAGTTTTAATGAATAATTTCCTCCTTATTCAATTCTACCATTCAGTGCTATTTGTTAGTTTCTTCATCTCAAATATGCACTGGTGACTTGATCTCATATACATTTATGAATTTTTCAAAAGGAACAGATTTTTCAATTGTATTGATGACCGTTTGTGTTACGACCTCTATTATGACTTGTGTGATTATTGATTAAATTCAACGTATGCCACTAGACTTGATAACCTTCTTGATATATTTCGATAATGTAATAAGAAAGCGAAGATTATCAGAACTATGTGATATGTCAGCGAAATACCTTTCGAACAATCTGATCACACATTATATACTTGTTTAGAACATTTATATATAAAAAATAAAATGTCAACTACACTGGAAATGGGGTAAGACGAGACAATAATAATAATAATAATAATAATGTGAACACAGTTCGAAACCTAATCACTCTGGATAATGAGTCAATATTACCAGGGTAGGTTTAAGGTAAGAACAAACTGTTTTTGAACATTATTATTATTACTCTTACCATTATCCTTATCTCCTCTTACCCCGTTTCCAGTCTAGTTGACCTTTTATTTTTATATATAAATGCCCTTAACAAGTATATAATGTGTGATCAGATTGTTCGAAATGTATTTCGCTAATATATCACATAGTTCTGATAATCGTCGTCTTCTAATTACAGTATCGAAATTTATAAAAGGAACTAATTGTTTTAAACTTCTTGATATATGTTGTGGATTTCTCCTGAAATCCCCGTCGCCACTAATATATCTTGTTGTTTGGATGCTTCTTGCTATATCTGGTCGTCGCTGATTGTTATGTCGGAAATGCTTATCAGTTGTATTAGGGACGAGGGACCTCTACAATTCCCACGATGCGAAAGTAAGAACATAAAGACTGCTATAAGTGATGATTTATTAACCCCAAAAATACGACGGCAACCCTAGTCGAAAATACACTCATTTATATATTGATTGTACACCCATTTTGATTAATAATTAAGATGAAATCACATATTCAGTTATAACAAATCACTTACTGAGTATAGTTCATGTCAAGTGAATACAAGAATATCTCGCATATTATACAGAAGAGAATATCATACTGAGATAACAGTAACAAATACTCCATTGAGTAATCATGACATTGAATCAAAATGGAATTCGTGTTGAATGAAACTCATAATCGATAAATCAATCGAATTTTGACTTTCCTTTCCATCATATCACTTCTAACTTAATTGTACCACAGTGATCAATGAACAACAACACAAATCTTAATGCCTTAAACTTTCCCGAGTTCAGTATTCTATCAAAAGATGAAGTTAGCAAACAGATGCTTTCTCTGATGTGTAGCCATTCCATAAAGTAAATTTCTGATCATACACTAACATAAATAGTAAATGACAATATGGTCATGGCTGCACCATATGCAAAAGGGAAATCAAATGAAACCGCTGTAATTGAATTAACATTAATTTGAATAAGGTAAAAACATACAACATCGGTTTATGAGCTAAGTGAAACATAACAGTTAAAAGAATATTCCAGTTGTCTTATAATCAACAACTTCATAAACGTCACATGATTTATGGCCTCCTCAATATTCGTTCAATCATTATATTGTTAAATGTGGAATCTCACAGATTGAAATCATGAGTCACTTGAAGCTAGACCACCATGGAAAACCTGCAAGCACTGGACGGCCGTTTCGTCCTAGTATGGGACTCCTCAGCAGTGTGCATCCACGATCCTTCTCCACGCGAGATTCCAACCCATGAAATATCAGTCTTGCGTGCGAGCGTTTAACCATTAGACCACTGAGCTGGATGGCATCCAACGGTGTTAATGTCTAACTTCAACCAATCCACGAAGTTGCACCACCGTACATCATTGTTTTCAGTGAGCCGATATCTCACAACAGACCTGGTTGAACTCCTCTGGTAACGGCTTCCAGGTTTTTCCATGGTGGTCTAGCTCCAATTGACTCATGATTTCAATTTGTGAAATTTCTAAAATGTGGAATCAATTATAGAATGTCGAAACGATATTTTACTAGCTTTATTCAAATTTGTTTTCATTTCTTCAAATGACATAACCAATGTTAATCATAAGATATAAGCGCTGCCATAGTTGGATTTGTTTCAGTGGGAATTGTATGTTTTCAAACTATTTAGTTGTATGATTCTAAGGTGGTGGAGAAGATTTGTAGCTCTACCATCT